TGTAGCTCGGCCCGAATAAGTCCTCTGCAAAAGACGACCGTAAGGTGACGAGGCAACAAAGACATGAAACCCAGAAACCCAGAGCACTACACAGTGACAGATCAAACGAATGCTTGCGCAGCTTAGGACCCCATCGTAGAAACAGTCCACATAGGACACCATAATTGTTGCACTTTCAGTGCGTGCATTGAAGATACCTGAAGAATCATCCCAACCATGTTACAGGGGCGGGAGCAAGCACTGGTTGACTTTACTCTGCACGTTAACCCATTTTTGTTTCACGGCTCGTGCTTTACCGAATAGTGTGTCAGCCGTGTCAACTTACTTTGCATAGCAATTATTAGTTACTGTTGAATACATATTTATTACAAAAATTTTAACTGTTACATACCTAGTATTGACAAATATGTCAGATATTCAACAAGAAATTGAGTATCATACGATATTGTCCCAAACCCCAAATTTCGCAATGTCAACTGAAAATACCCATTTAACGCATAAAACTGCAAACCGTGGTGTGTAGTGACATCCCAAATTTGAGTTCGCTGAACCTCTTCGCTGTATATTGGTAATTTAGTAGTATGGATGCTGACTATACATCAGAGCTTGTATACCAGAACCTCACAATACTCAAATCATTATGCGCATTACGTCAACTGTTCCTATGGTATTCGTGGATTATTCCATATGGTATCGAGCACAAAGTGGCAACTTGTACTTACCTTATATTGTCTTCGTCATCTATGTTTCTGGTAGACCTGACCGAGTGCGGCTATAAGGAAAGAATTTTCGTAACCCGTGCAGTGAGACTTCATACCCGTGCCTCACCGAGAGAGGGTAGAGACTGTTCTGTTGGTGTATGAGCTTAAACCATTTCATGTAACATTGTCAATAGAGGGTTGTTTGGTGTCGCAGGTCGACGGTGTCGACGGTGCAGATACAGTCGCAGATGATGTGGTGGTATAGCTGCTATAGTTGAGGTAGAGCTCTTTGAAGGGGGGAGGGTGGGAGTATTTGACCTTCAAGTGGTGAGCTAGCCTGGGCCTAGAGAGAAAGACGTAATTGCCCTTGTCAGTTTCTGGATAGAGATCCTAGCTTGACTTTGTTCTGGTTTGTTCTGGCTTGAGCACGTTGGTTTGGGAGGTGTTGGCCTGTCAGATGTGTCTGCATCGGAATCAGTAGATTCATATGTTTCGATCAATTCGTCCCCCACGTTTCCCATTGATTTCTAATGTAAGCTACAAAATGTGTAGCGGTAGAAGTCGAAGAGTGTAAAGTGTAAACGCAAAGCGAGTGGGTGTTTTTGTGTACACTATTTGTATACATTAATTTACCCCCCAGTTTATACCCCAGTAAATATGTAGGTAATATTTGTTCTCTAGGGAGACTATTAAATACACTCTTTTTAGACTCTTTTAGAGTTTAGACTTAAGTGCTGAGGCCCGAGTGCTGAGTCTTCTGACTGCTGCAGCCTGCGCTGCTGTCCCCGTATCGATCCTCATAGGCTCTTTCCACTCTCTCCCTCTCTCTCTCTCTACTACTACTACTACTACTCAACTGAGAGAGAGAGAGAGAGAGAGAGAGAGTATAGTTATTTAGTCAGTTAATAAATAGTCACAACTCACAAGTTCCTTGATTTTTTTTGGGTTTTATTAAATTAAAATAACCCTGTGGACTCTGGAGGTTATTTTTATATAAATACATGCCCTCTGGTGAAATTGATCATTTTCTACGAGACCCCGTTGATCCAGAGGGCCATGATATTGAATTAGCCAATGAACTGTAGATATGCCGTACAAATTTATGCACCAGAGTGGGGTCATATAGCCTCAGACTCGCGTGACTGGGGAGTGGACTGTCGACTGGGGAGTGGACTGGGGAGACTGGGGAGACTGGGGAGACTGGACTCTGGAGACTCCAGACTGGAAACAATCGCGCAAGATCAACTACAGTTCGGAACCCCCGCCCTTTTTCTCAGATTTTTTTTATATCCTTATTCCTGTGGCCAGAGAGCAAGTAACACGTTTACGAAATTTTATTTAGATCTCATTCTGGTTGCGAGGGTCGAATCCGTCAAACGCGCACTTGTGAGCATATCACTTGTGAGGTATATATTTAGTTGTCAGTTGTAGGTGATAATCTACCTTATATATATAAAT